GATGCCATTGCTCCAACTAAGGTAAAGGAAGTGTCTGGCAAGAAAATATCTCCATGGAGAAAGGCCATGACCGTGAGAGCAGAAAAAAGAGAATGTCGAAAAGCTGAACGCAGGTGCCGAAAAACAAATCTCCAGGTTCACTTTGAAATCTATAAAGAGTAGTGCTGTAGCGACGCGTCGACATCGTCAAAATATCGTCGACGACATATTTCCGCGTCGACGCGTCGCCACCATAGACTGTATATATGGTCGCCACACACACGTGGGTCACCCAAAGCAACAAACAGTTCGCAATCGCACTTCTAACACAATGGAGACTGAAACCTCACAGGATTGCGCACGAAGCCCTCAAACGAAAACATCTCGCCCTAGGTCTTCAAAAGCATGGGAATATTTTAAAGTTAGTCCAAAACGCAAAGATATTTATATATTTATATCTCACTGAGACTGCTGCTTGACCGGAAGCAGCAGCTAGCTGTGGTGGCAACCATTAGCAGCTAGCATTTGCTCTCCGATGTTTACATAAAAATGGAATTATGGATTATAAATTCAATAATTTTTTTATACATAGACGTTAAAAACCTATGGATTAACCGATTCAGCCGCGTTTTTTCTCATTTTAATGCCATTGAACACGTATTTTGATCAGATTGACAGCTACGGCGGTGAGACGATCTCCCTAGAAGCTCTGTGAAGGTACGTGTTGTGATGACTGTATTTGCTTCCCCTGTCGCGAGTCCGGATCACTCAGTGATGATACTATGTACCTACATAATCTGTGGAGTCTCAGCTTTAATCGGATATCTTGTATGTGCAGCTACGATAAGTAATAAGGGTACTTTTATCTTGAGTTCTGTGCCAATGTCCGTTAGCATTTTTCGCTCAGGGGTCATTTAGATAGCATTTTAGTTTGCTTCTTATGAGACTTGTGTTTTGTTTTGGTAAACATGGTTTATATCGTCAGTTAGCTGAGATTATTTCCATTAATCTGGTATAACACATTAATAGGTTCTTAAATATTAAGATCCCCTGAGACACAGTATCGTGGATACTTTTTTTTACATTACGTTTTTTATGAATTGAACAACAGAAAAATAATCGTTCGATTAGTCGACTAATCGATCAAATAATCGCCCGATTAATCGTTTTCAAAATAATCGTTTCCCCCCAGCACTAATAAAGAGAGACTTGGCCTTTATAATTTGGAATTGAAAAACGCACGACAATCGTTCTTCTCTGACATCATTACCAAAAACAAAAACAACGCACGTGCCTTGTTTGCTACCGTCGACAGACTAACTAACCCCCCAGTGTCAGTAGCCTCTGCATTTCTATCCACCAGGGCGTGCAATGATTTTGCCTCCTTTTTCACTGACAAAATTCAGAAAATCAGACAAGCAGTCAGTGCCTCTGCATCAGGAACAGCAAATGTGTTGTCCCTATCTCCACTTAACATCAATTCAGACATCATGACACAATTCCATCAGATTAATGATAAAAACCTAGAGGACATTATTCAACTTCTGAAATCCTCCTCCTGCTGCCTTGATATTATTCCAACAGGATTTTTCAAAGATGTTTTGCCTTGCATGGCCTCAGATCTACTTCATATAGTAAACAAATCTCTTCACTCAGGTATTTTTCCACAGGCCCTGAAAACTGCAGTCATTAAACCGCTCTTAAAAAACAATAATCTAGATGCTTCAGTAATGAACAATTACAGGCCCATATCAAACCTCCCATTTCTAGGTAAAATCATTGAAAAAGTTGTTTTTCAACAGTTGAGTAATTTCTTGCATTTAAATAACTGTTTCGATGTGTTCCAGTCAGGCTTTCGTCCAAACCACAGCACTGAGACTGCTCTTGTAAAGGTCTTTAATGACATCCACTTAAACACAGACAGTGGCAGAACTTCAGTGTTAGTATTATTAGATCTCAGTGCTGCGTTTGACACTGTTGACCACAACATATTACTAGACCGACTGGAAAACTGGGTGGGACTTTCGGAAACAGTTCTAAATTGGTTTGAATCCTACTTAAAGGACAGAAACAACTTTGTTTCTATAGGTAAATACACATCTGAGTTGACAAATATGACATGTGGGGTTCCTCAAGGCTCCATCTTGGGGCCTCTTCTCTTTAACATCTACATGCTACCACTGGCTCAGATAATGAAAAACAACAAAATAAGTTACCATAGCTATGCAGATGACACACAAATGTACGTAACAATTTCACCAGGAGACTATGCTCTAATTCAAACACTGAGTAAGTGCATTGAACAAATCAATGACTGGATAAGTCAGAACTTTCTCCAATTAAACAAAGATAAAACTGAGGTAATGGTTTTTGGAGCCAAGTCAGAACGTATAAAAGTTAGCACTGAGCTTCAGTCTGCAATGTTCAAAACAACAGATAAAGCCAGAAATCTAGGTGTAGTCATGGACTCTGACCTGAGTTTCAACAGTCACATTAAAACTGTTACTAAATCAGCCTACTATCACCTAAAGAACATATCTAGGATTAAAAGACTAATGTCACAGCAGGATTTGGAAAAACTTGTCCATGCTTTTATCTTCAGTAGACTCGACTACTGCAATGGTGTCTTCACAGGTCTCACTAAAAAATCTATTAGGAAGCTGCAGCTGATTCAGAACGCCGCTGCTCGAGTCCTCACTGACACTAAGAAAGTGGATCACATCACTCCTGTTCTGAAGTCTTTACACTGGCTTCCTGTGTGTCAAAGAATAGATTTCAAAATACTGCTGCTGGTTTATAAAGCACTGAATGGTTTAGGCCCAAAATACATTTCTGACCTCCTGCTAAATTATGAATCATCCAGATCTCTCAGGTCTTCAGGGACTGGTCAGCTTTCTGTCCCCAGAGTCAGAACTAAACATCGAGAAGCAGCGTTCAGTTATTATGCTCCAAATATCTGGAACAAACTCCCAGAAACCTGCAGGTCCGCTGCAACTCTGACTACTTTTAAATCCAGGCTGAAGACTTTTCTTTTTGTCGCTGCTTTTAATTGAACTATTCATATCTTAGACTGCACTGTAACTTTGATCCATGTACTTTTTTCTTTTAATGTTTAATTGACTGCACTGTAACTTTTATCCATGTATTTTTTCTTTTAATGTTTATTTTATTAGCTTTTCTTTTTAATGACTGATTTTAAATGCCATTTTCTTAATCTCTTTCATTTTTTGTAAAGCACTTTGAATTGCCTTGTGTTGAAAAGTGCTATATAAATAAACTTGCCTTGCCTTGCCTTGCCTTGCCTTGCCTTGCCTTGCCTTGCCTTGCCTTGCCTTGCCTTGCCTTGCCTTGCCTTGCCTTGCCTTGCCTTGCCTTGCCTTGCCTTGCCTTGCCTTGCCTTGCCTTGCCTTGCCTTGCCTTGCCTTGCCTTGCCTTGCCTTGCCTTGCCTTGCCTTGCCTTGCCTTGCCTTGCCTTGCCTTGCCTTGCCTTGCCTTGCCTTGCCTTGCCTTGCCTTGCCTTGCCTTGCCTTGCCTTGCCTTGCCTTGCCTTGCCTTGCCTTGCCTTGCCTTGCCTTGCCTTGCCTTGCCTTGCCTTGCCTTGCCTTGCCTTGCCTTGCCTTGCCTTGCCTTGCCTTGCCTTGCCTTGCCTTGCCTTCCAGGCCTACGTCTGTTTCCGGTTATTTTTATTTTGAAATTCAGTTCCTGAAGGACGCCAAAAAAGCCAGAGATTATGGAATTAAACAAATAAATAAAAACAAGGATAATTGTGTGTTATTGGTGAGTAAATAACAGTGTGTTATTTAGAAAAGAATAACAAATTAGAAGGAAAAAAAGATTTTAAAAAAATACAGATTTCAGTATTCTGAGGCTCTGAGCCATTTCTTTTCCTCACAGACGACAAAAAAAGTCCGACATTATACGATTTAAAATAAAAACAATAATCGTGGCTTGATATTGAGTAAGAACATGTTTTTATGAACCACACAGCTTCCAGTCTTCGAAGACTCGAACGGACAAAAAGACATGCTGCAGGCACGAAACATACTACCAATATAAATGCATTGCTTTTAAAATCGTTCTGTGTGAGACGAAAAAAAGGGGGCAATCGTGTTGGTGAACACGAATCAATAGATTAAATGTTGTGACTATAACACGAAATGCCGTGAGACTGGGTTGTTTAGTCATATGAGTCACCAAGAGCGTAGAAATCCTACCAGTGAAACAGGAGCACATAGTCTCCAACTTCAAATCAATTCAAATTTTAGAGCTACTAGTGAGGGTGGCAGTCCACTGTTTGTGTAGTTGTCATTTTGAATTTGCCACTTGAGATTTGCATTTCACGATTAACCTCCGCTTCACAAACATGATCTAACAACGTTTGTGTCTTAATGCTTGTTTATGGCAGTATTTGGCTTCTTACACTTGACTGGGTGAAGTCTCAAATTGTCTGTGCACAGTATGCATCTACGTTATCACAAACAGAGCTGACACTCACTGAGTCTGAAAACCATGAGGAGTCCGAAACCGTTTGCTGTTTCGCACTGTGTGAAGTTATCCACTCATCCAGTCCGCTCTCCGAATCTGAGTCTGCTGTTGACTCGTGCATGATGAGTCTGGATCTCTGGATCTGCTACGGTTACGGCTTTGAATCTGCAGGAGTCTGCAGGAAGTGTCACTGATCCGCATCCCCTGAGCCAAACGATAACTTCTGGAAGCTGTCCTACTTGCTAAAGGCTCGGCAGATGGACTGGGCTACGTTGTAACGTGATTTGTTATAACAAGGAGAGTAGCGAGTGAAGCAAGTTATAGTTTTAATTTGTACGTCACCAGGTGTAGGACTCAAAGGACTCGGGTTAATGGAGAGGGGAGACTCGTCACTCCCAGCGCCCCTTGATCTGAGGATCAACGCTCTAGCCCACTGCGCCTAAACCACCCCTTGTGATGGAATGTTGACGGAAGCTGACTCTTGTCTTTTCCTACTAACATTTTCTGTTTGTGTATTTCATGTATGCTGACTGCAGGCTGGACTACAGCGGACCTTCCAGAGAGTTCTTCTTCCTGGTGTCCAGAGAACTGTTCAACCCGTACTATGGCCTGTTTGAATACTCGGCCAACGACACGTACACTGTCCAGATCAGCCCCATGTCGGCCTTTGTAGACAACCACCATGAGTGGTGAGCCTTCTACATGTTTATGTTTCTAGATTACAAGTCTGCCTAATGTACGTGTCCGGATGTTAGACTGCTGCTGTGCCAAATGTAAAGGGTCCGTCTTATCTCCTCTGACTGCAAATCCAAAAATAGCAGTCATTTGTTGGACTGGTGTGTGGAAATGTGGATCAGAATTGTGTGGCTTACCAGTCAATGAATCTTCAGTGACAGTGATTGGATGGACAGATGAATGTGCAGACAGGAACACCCTAATGTGATCGCTGGATGAAGAAGAGAGCAGATGTAGCAACATCATATAATAACACATACAGTCTGCAGCAGTTCTTTGTCACAGTGGTCACACCTAGTGGCACTCATGCCATGAATTAGCTCGTTACTCATGTTTTCTGGGAGACAGCTTGTCTAAGGTTAGAGAAAGAAAGGAGAAGCACCATCCCTGCTGATCTCTGTACTGTATTCATTGTTTGGGGGGGGGGGGGTATTTATTGAAAATTGGAAATTGAACTTCAAATGTCACTAAAGCCGGTTAAATACTACATGAAACACACAAGCAAAATAACTTCCCAAGCATTTATATATCCGCAGAAAGAAGATTTCAAACCAATCTGCTGCGTTACATGGAGTAAACCCCTCCATCTGCTCAGAGCACGCCTACAGAACACACGTCTGAAATCATTTCACTGTGAGGCTTAGTTCAAAACACTTCAATTCAAATGCTACATCAACATCAAATACTGCGCTGCTCCTTATTTTTATTACATTTATTGGTATTGTTTAAGGCTGGTATTTTGACACAGTCTCAGATAAAGGTAACTAATTCTGTTATTTTACACTATAAGTACAATAAGATTCCAGTGGTGTCTGTATTTGACATTGTGAAAAAAAACAGAGCCTTATGAAGTCCAAATCTCAACATTTATTGAAAAATGATAGATGTAAACATTTCCAAAATTCACAACATGTTTTAACTAACATAATATTCTGCTTCAATCCATATTTATTGATTTCTCAGCCTTGAAGAAAAACTATATTTCACTTTCACAAAATCATGTGTGCCTCCACTAGCCGCACACAAAGGGAGGCACCCTGATGATAATAAAAAAAGGTTAATATCGTCAATCAGTTGATTAAACTTGACAATTGTGTTTGTTTTCGAGGGGTGACGTCATAAAAGATATAGACAGACATACAGTATGTTTTCTGGTGTAAAGCTATGGCAGGGTGCAGCTCGGAGGGATTAGTTAATGCAGCCCTGACGCTCACGTCATGTGTCACCTGTTTCCTGTGTGTGTGTGTGTGTGTGTGTGTGTGTGTGTGTGTGTGTGTGTGCGTGTGCGTGTGTGTGTGCGCGCACATGCGTGTGCGTGTGTGTGTAGGTTCCGCTTCAGTGGGCGGATCCTGGGCCTGGCGCTGGTCCATCAGTACTTGCTGGATGCCTTCTTCACACGACCCTTCTACAAGGGGCTTCTCCGCATGTAAGTCCCTCAGCCTACTTCCCCATAACCCCCTCCCTCAGAGCAGCCTGCAGCAGCACTTCCAATCAGACCCCCCCCCGTTTGAGCCAGCAGCTGGCAGCAGCATCTTTATTAATAGCTTTGTCCAAATAAGCTCAGACCCTGCCAAGCGCATGCACTCAGGACAGATGCTTCTATAACAATAAGGCTGCTTAACCTTGGCTCCTCCTTACTATACAGACAAGCTTTCAGCAAACAAATAGGAATGTATTTAAAATTCTGATACCAGCATACAGTAAATTATAATGCATCCAATATTGCATGCTGCTTTACAAAGAACTTTGCAGAGAGCGGTGCATGAGATGTCTGGATTCTTTTTGATTTGTTGCAATATAAAAATCATGTTTTTGTTACATATGTAAAGAAATATGAGAAAACTGCTGTAAATAGCTAATTGGTGTCTCAACAGCAATACCAAGCAAACTGTCTACATCACCTCAATGCATGATGGGAAAAGTGTCAACTTGTTTAGCTTGAACAAACATAGTGATGTTATTAAGCCTCAGAATGTCAACACATCTATTATATCTCCAGAACACTGACACTCTTCCCAAGTTCATATCATTTCCAGCCTTTAGTTCCCCCAAAACACGCCCTGAAACACGAGCATTACTCGCATGCCGTGTGACTGCATTTCTGATATGCTGTAAGAATTTGGAAATGTAAATGTCAAGTGTTTAAATATCACTCAGTAAAGTGTAGATTTGGTCCAAGTGTGTGTGTGTCCCCTCCACCAAATAAAAATCAAGAATTCAACTAACTCTATTGTCCCTCCAGTCATGATCGCAGCAAAGCAGCGATTTATCCATCTCATCTCGCTATTTCCGTGGATCATAACTTATCGAGTATAGAATGAATCTGTAGATGCTTGGTTAAAATGAGACACACTTTTCCATGGATGTCAGCTTGAGAGCCTTGAGGAAAGGCAGAATGTGCTGCTAGCTAAGGCTTTAAGGCTTGTTTTTGGCCTGTTACATCTGAAGCAGGTGAAGAGAGGAGAGGAGTCAGCAGCCACTAATGTTATAATAAAAAAAGGGCAATATTTGATTTATGTATAAATACAATAGGGAAAGTGCTGTACCTGTATGTTTCTTGTTTGTTTCTTAGCCATGTGATATGTGATCTCTGTGCTGTATCTATGACTGATTGACCTGAATGTTTTTATGTGTATTATCTCGATGCCCAAGACACATTTCTCCTAAGGGAGACAATAAAGCTCTATCTTATCTTAAATCAGTCTGAAAAAGGATCAGTAATAAAGGAGCAGAGAATATTCGGCTGGTTCAGCAGTGGAGAAACAGACAGACATGATGTAAATCCTTCTTCTGTTATTTATTATCTGTGTGTTTTGTTAGACACCTCACATCCTTTAAATCTGACACAGAACACCCTGAGGGCTGTATCCTGACACATCATATATTAACCTTTGACCTCCCTGCTTCAAATCAGACATAGTTTATGCTGCCCCTGTGTGACCTCTGTGTGACCTCTGCTCCCTCCTCCTTCAGCCCCTGTGACCTCAGTGACCTGGAGTTCCTGGATGAGGAGTTCCACCAGAGCCTGCAGTGGATGAAGGATAACGACATCGAAGACATGCTGGACCTCACCTTCACTGTTAATGAGGAGGTCTTTGGACAGGTGTGTGTGTGTGTGTGTGTGTGTGTGTGTGTGTGTGTGTGTGTGTGTGTGTGTGTGTGTGTGTGTGTGTGTGTGTGTGTGCGTGTGTGTGTGTGTGTGTGTGTGTGTGTGTGTGTGTGTGTGTGTGTATTTCCCGGAGGCTACAGTACCTTTCTATGATCAAATATACGATTAGGGTTTGCCTTCTCTTCACCACATTCTGAAGTATTTTTTTTTAGATGAGACTTGTTCAATGTGTGACAGCTGCCTGCTGAAAACACATCTGCATTTGAGACTGAAGTGAGCATGTGATTGTGCAGATCACAGAGAGAGAGCTGAAGCCGGGCGGGGCGGGGATCCCCGTGTCGGAGAAGAACAAGAAGGAGTACATCGAGCGGATGGTGAAGTGGCGTATCGAGCGAGGAGTGGCCCAGCAGACGGAGAGCCTGGTCCGAGGCTTCTATGAGGTACAGCTCTGCATCTCACTGTTTCAGGTGAAGTGAGGCTATGGTCTCGAATTCAGAGGGCAGTTAGTACGATGTTCCTCTCTGTAGCACATTATTACAGACCCATGAGAAGGAAGTACGAGAAGACATTTGGGTTAGCTGTTCTTTTTTTTTTTTCATTGGGCAAACTTATTTTCCCCGACCTATTAATATATTTAGTTTTACTTGCGGAAATAATAAACCTCAAAAGCTACTGCCTTTATTGAGACCTTTAGAGATATTTCCACAGTACACAGTATCCATGTAAAACATCTCTCCAAAAAGGCTTTACCTGTGGGCAAGGCAAACAAAAATCACAGATCCACACTCCCTCCATTGGGATTTGTGAGACTCACTTCATTTAGATTCCCGGTTGGGGTTGATAAAGAACCGGGTGAGGATTTTCCAGCTTCCAGACTTAAAGATCAGACCACAAGAAATGTCTCAACTGCCTCTCAGCTTCCATACAAACTAACTACAATACACTGAATGGCAGGATTGTTGATCAATAGCAATCGGTTAAAGCACCCTCTGCTGTTTCAAAGGAGAATCACACATTTGTTTCGCAAATGTACTGTGTGGTGAACTCTCTTCCCTTCCTGTAGCAGAGAGAATGTGCAGGTTTTGGGCACTGCTCGGTTTGGATGTGAATCTGAAGGAACGTTCCTACGACGTGTTTTGGTCTGTTCAAAGGAGCGTGTATTCCTCTGAAATGTGTAAAGATCTTAGGAGCGTCAGATGATGTGTGACAGCTCACAGTCCTACATGCTGTTGAAGCTCAGCAGGACAAAGTGAAACCAAGAGCGGACTGTAATCTGGACCGCTGATCTTCTCGTGTGTTTTCATGACTCTGGTACAAACCCAAGGCCTGTAAGCTGCTGCCTGGCAGGCTGACAGAGCACAGTTTGTGAGTCACTGCGAGTGTACACGCTGTAAACAAACTGATGGAAGCCCTCGTACCTTCACAATGATCCTACTGCCATGTGTGTCAACTACTAAAGCTCAGATGAATTAAGTGAGTGCTCCTTAAAGGGGACCTATCATGCAAAATGCACTTTTGTACGTCTTTTATACATGAATATGTGTCCCCGGTGTTCCAGGGAACTCACCAAGTGTCAGAAAACACAACCCTCTCTCTTTTCCTCCATACCCAAATCTCTAAAAAAGGGGCTGCAACGGATCTGATACAGACTGATCCAGATTTGAACACTGTCCTGACGTCAGGACGGTGGCGCTACGGCTATTGGTCAATTCTCCACCTATCAGGGGAATGAGAGGTTGGGCCACGGCCGGCCATTGCTGCTCGAAAGCGCTGGAGACGCTGTAGTACATATGCCAGGCCTGTAAGTGGCGCTGTAGTCTGCCACAAAAGCAGCGAAGAAGACTTCCCTTGCATGGTTGCCATGGTTGCCCTTCTGTTTATTCTCCGCTGTGGCTCTTTGTCTCCCTCCCCGAGGCAAGCGTTTGCTCCTCCTGCTTTAAAACAAATGAATAATGACTCTATATAATCATATGTAAGGGATAATGTGCAGCGACGCGGTCATTATGGGGAAAAGAACACCGACAGGCTGATCAGGAGCCCGACGCGAAGCGGAGGGATCTAGATCGGCATGAAGGCACATTATGCAATGTGCACATTATCCCGCTTATTACATGGCCACATTCTCCACAAAGTAACGACATGACTCCCAATATGAATTTAAATGCTTTTATGGATTTAGAAAATGATTTTATTGATTTAAAAAATAGTTTTATGTATTGATTTAAATTGACATGCATCCACTAAGAAAAGTAGTCCGTTGTTACCGTTTGAACTGACGTAGCAACGGCAGGAACTGCTTCGATAGCGTTTTTGAGGAGCTTTTTGATTACAGATTTGAAAACATCGTTGCTTGCTTTAAAAGTAGCACAATTCATTATGTCAAACCTTGGAAAGTATCTAGACATCCCTGCCCTAATGCCAAAGTAACTGCACACTGAATATGTGTCGCCGTTTGATGTCTATGTCTGGACCGCTGTGTAAAAAGGAGGGTTTCTGCCCCGTCACTTCTCTTCTTACTTCTATAAGAATAAAACACGGAGGACGGAGATCTCTTTTTCTCCCCTTCTTCTCCCCGCTGCAGCCCAGCAGCTGATCTCAGAGCACGCTCCCCTCTCCTGCAGGGGGGCGTGGTCAGCTGCAGCTCACAGAATCAGCCCCCTGCAAAAACAGCGCTGGAAAGAGCAAATAGAGCGAAATGAGGCATGGCTAAAATGCAGGATCTGTTTGGTATTTTGAAAAAAAAACTATATTTATATACTTTATATAGCTATGGCCCTACAATATATTGTTCAAATATAGCATGATAGGTGTCCTTTAAGTTAACCCTGTGCTGATCTGCTGGGCAGGTGGTGGATGTGCGTCTGGTGTCCGTGTTCGATGCTAGGGAGCTGGAGCTGGTGATAGCCGGCACTGCAGAGATTGACCTGGCAGACTGGAGGAACAACACGGAGTACAGAGGAGGTATGTGGGGGGGGGGGGGGGGGGGAACAGCAATATGAGAACACTTACAAAGTCATGAAACTCAAAAATCATCCTGAAAAAACATCATAATTGATTTTAGAATGGAAAACCCATTCAGTAGTATGTAAGTATTGATGTAGTACTGATTCATATTTTATACTGCATCCTGATCCTCAAATTCAGTCCTTTAAATTATATTTAATTTGCGTAAAAAAAAGAAAAGAGTATGCATACTATATACTGTTTAAATATAAATAACGGATATATATAAACTGATATGGAAAAGTGTTAAAACCTTTATCATAGATTGCACTTATATGAGGATGGATGTTTGGGACTGTGATAAATAGGGCATTGGCATGAATTCCCATCATGATAGAGGGGTTAGGGTTCAAAATAGAAATGAGCTGCAATTCTGGTAAACACACAATATACTTTAGCAGGATTCTTTGAGACTCAGTTACACAGATCTGTTGATTAAAACTACCAATAGTCGCAAAATCTTCTCATCTTAGTGGACAGCCCTCCTTAGCACAGATTTGATGTGTCCCATGTGGGATGCCTGGTCTAGGATTCAAACCTGAGTCAGCACAGGCTGAACCCCCGTACATGGGCCGGCAGTTGCCCTTAATCAGAAGATATAAGCTAGACCTCAATATCGTACAATCAAAATAATGAATTAATATGTCTTTCCTGTTTATTGAAATTATAATGTAAAATCATGTATTATTGTACTCCCTGATATTATTTCTGTTGTTATTTTAACTATACAATAAAAAGTGATTATGGAGAATACAATGAGAAAACCTTTCATTATATATTTAACAGTTGTACCAGGCCTGACTGGAATTGCTTTTTAGTTATTGTTATTTTATTGTGTACAGCACAAGCATGCCAGTGCCAGTCCCAAGCATTTAGCAGAGATCACATTAAAGGCTTCCTCAGGTTCTGGCCCGCAGCAGGAGACGGGGGGGCAACTCAGAGTGAGAGTCTTTTAATAGAGTCATCGACTGAGACGCACATTAAACATTAAACAGCAGAGCCCATTGACAAATCACACAGCAGAGACAGTGAGAGGAACAGGGGACAGAGGCCTTATTAGTTATTCATCTGACTCATGCATCATCTGTCTCCCCACAGGTTACCATGACAACCACATAGTGATTCGCTGGTTCTGGGCAGCTGTGGAGAGGTTCAACAATGAGCAGAGGCTGAGGCTGCTGCAGGTACCATGGGGGGGTCCCATGTGGAAGCTGGGGGGGCCTGCAGGCTGCTCGGACAGCTCTGTACTTCAGAATGTGACCAGGTTTAACTTGAGGCTACACAAAGCTGTTAGTGAGACTTGAATCTGGATTATATTTCAGTAGAACATATGAGGCATGCAATATTTTCATTGAAAATGGAACATTCTCAGTTGAAACGTGAAGTGTGCAACTTCTCTGCATTAAGATGCCTTAAAACAATTAACCCTATATCATATATTTAGTTAAATGTCTGCAACAGATTTCAGAGCTAAAGTCCTCTGTAATGTAATCAGGGTAGCAGTGTGTTTCATTGAATCTCCTGCAGTGGTGTCCGATCCCCTTCAGCCTGTGTCAGTGCGGTAGCGGTCTGTTGTCTGTGAACAGCAAACGTTAGGGTGGAACAGCGTTAGAGAAACACACATTGTTCATGTAAAACTGCTTGACTAGTCTCTGTACCAGTTTTAATCACATTGTCCCGGGCAGCCTCCTGAATGACGAAGACTATGAAGATGACCTCACATCCTCACACACTAAGCTGTCTGTGTTATTGTTGATTGAGAGACCCCTAGTGGTAACACATGACATATTGTGCGTTTAGGTTAGACTGCGTGTCTGAACTCATCATATATAGAACTAATAAACAAAGTCATATCCATTTTCATTCATAAATAATAACAATGTTTAGGACGCTCCTTTCATACTCTGTGTGACTTTGACGGCTTTCTTCCAGTTTGTGACAGGCACCTCCAGTATTCCCTACGAGGGCTTTGCCTCTCTGCGGGGCAGTAATGGCCCCCGCAGGTTCTGTGTGGAGAAGTGGGGGAAGATCACCTCCTTACCCAGGTACGATGTCTGATAGGATGTAGCCTTTAGGGACTGCATGGAAAGGATACACTTTACAAGAGGTGGAGGCTTCTGTATGTTTCTTATTTGTTCTTCTACACTCCACACCAGCCTTGCCTTAGCAAATTAAATATACATTTTAAGTTTTGAGTTATGTCACAGCACCCCAGTGCCAGCATAGTGTGAAGGGTAGAAATACACTGTTTAACTGTTCAATTTGAGTGTGCCTTGGACACAGATGAGCTTGTGATGGAATGACCTGTTATACTGAATACTGTGAACTGTAAAATGATGGACTAGTTTCTAAAGAAAAGAAAACGTATCACCTTAATAAGGCATTCTTACTAGTAGAATAAGCAGAAGTAGTAGTGCATTTACTAATCTTTATTATAAAATGTATTATTGACGTTTAATTTGTGTTAAAGATTTAGGCGCTACAGGTGTATACAATCCAAAAGAAACAGACTCAAAGACCGTTTTTTCCCAAGAGCCATCATTGCTCTTAACACCTGAAATCATGTGAATCAATATGACTCTGTACATATATATCATTACTATTATTATTATGTATTACATTACAGATTTTATTTTTTACTCCTGGAAATAATTACTGCACTTTATTCTTTATTCCTAAGTATGCATGCTGCGTGTATTTTGTTGTGATGTTTTGTTTTGATGGCACCCTTGAAAGGGAGAAGCATTTATTATTATCTCATTGTACATGTATAATGACATTAAACAATTCTATTATATTCTAGATGAATCATCTTCTACTTGGCTTAGCACCTGATGGAGCTTTGAAAAAATGGAACCTATGTTTTCTGAAATGCAATTAAAGTTACATTAATAAATATTCATAAAAGACTGTTAACAATGAGTTTTATATATTTAAATACAGTATAATATAACTATTTAATAGCAATGTGTGTGTGTCTCCACAGGGCTCACACTTGCTTTAATCGTCTGGACCTCCCCCCTTATCCGTCCTTCTCCATGCTCTATGAGAAGCTGGTCACTGCGGTGGAGGAGACCAGCACCTTCGGGCTGGAGTGAGAGAACCATCTGGAAATCTACCTTCCTCCAGACGAGAGACAAATAAAACTAATCCTCAAATGGCAACTAACCCCCCCACCCCCTCCCCCCGTGGACACTCTGCTGTTTTTGTCCTGTCTCACTCAGCACTCAGTCTTCTTGCGATCCTCCCCCAGAGTTAGTGGAGAGAGGACTGCAGAGCTGCTCTGTACGGCTTCTTGCTTTCATGCTCACCTTTGTTCACGTGTGCTTTATCTCTTCAGTTGATGGCCTTGTTTACTGGATTTCTAGCACCTCCTCCTCCTCCTCCTCTAACCTGCACCTCAGAGACAGCTGCTGAAACCCCCTGAGCCCCCCCCCCCCTCTCCGGACCTCTAAACTGTGTCCTCTCTGCACTGAGGCTGCAGCGTTATGAACAATAATACACACACACTAATCACCTTTGCACAACGATCACACACAAACATTATATTTTTTAATTGATTGTGCATACGAGTGTCTCCCCCAGGATTTTTTTGTATCAGCATGGAAAGATGTGACATTTTAGACCTTGAGCTGGATGTTGGCTGGTCCTCCATGCCCGTCTGAGAGCAGGGGATACACTAGTGTGCACAAACACACACACACATAGACAACGTGCATAGAGCAATTGTCCTGAGACTGAAAATCAACTTGTTAGAAGTTGGACTAGAGTCACCAGCTCTTCTGAGTCATTGAGCTGCTGTGAGGATGACGGTTACCTTCAATACTGCGACATCAGAGCTCTGAAACGAAAGGTGAAGACGTATATCTGAGGCTCTATTTCTGCATATTCTAAACAAGGCATCCAGTGTCACACACTCATGCATTAGCTCTGATGCTGTGGGTGCAAGTTCTTATCGTGTAACAGATGGCACTCACTCCACTACACAGAAACATTACCTTCCTGTCTTTCACACATTTATCATGAGCAATAGATCCACTTTCACACAAGGACAGGGGACGTCTGCTCATATGTGTGACACAGAGTCCTCCTCACTGATGGAATCCTGCTGCCTCCTCTGTGAAAGTGATGAATGTACCAAATAACACTGAATGTATTGAACCTCAAGCAGCTCTGTTCAGCCCCTGAAGAGGATTCGGCCTCACAGAAAGTGGAGAGTTGGAAGTATGGGGGAAGGGTTGGAATGTGACACGGTTGCTTGAGGAAGAGAACGCGATTCACTCGATGTTGGCACCGGATTACGCCTTGTCAGCAGAAAGACAGGAGCCTGGCATCACCCAGGTGCCGGTCAGGGTGCAGTGTGGGATCTTTTTAGTGCCTCTTGGGTTTTCCTGACCATTAAGTGACATTTCATAAGGGAAGATATTTCATTTCCTTGTAAAAATGTTACCAGATCCACGTGTCTCACAAATCAAAGATGGTCAGACCTAAAGGGACAGTTCATGACTAAATCAAATGTAACTTAAAGGTTCATCACAAAATGTTTTTTTCCTCTTACCTGTTGTACTATTTTGGAATCTGGATTGTTGTGGTGCAATAACTATACAACTAGATGGCATTCAGCTTGTGGTGCTCAATGCACCAAAACACACATCCAAAAATCTCAACACTAGTGTACGAACTCACAACCCTGTAAGCCATGATTTTACACACACCTTGTTGTGAGCAGTTTGAGGTGGGAACTATATCCTTTACACCAAACTACATCCACCAACTCAATCTACACGCAGAGGTAAGAGCAGAGCCACTTGTTTGGCACCTTTTACCTTGAGCACCACCAGACAATGCTATCTAGTTTTATTATATTGGATAGAACTCAGACATATTCTATTTTTCGGCCCATATTTCAAACACTTAATAACTCACAACAAAACAATATTGATGTATATATAGCACTGCAGAAAAGAGACATGCACTTTTTATTTAGGGTGAACTGTCCCTCTGAGAAGCTGCGGTTTAAATTCCTAAAACAAACACAAGGGGGCAGGAGGTGTGCTGTGATTACTAAAGCATCTCTACACTGAAGACCCAGTGTTTCCCTCCACTCTGAATCACCTGACCTGTGATGGTGATGTCATCAGCAACATAAATATTACACTTTTGGTACATAAGTCCATGCCAGGCAATAGTTGAAAAGCATGTGATAAAACATTTCTCTAACTCTAAAGTGCACGGCCCAAAGCCTGAGGACCATTTTACTCTAACGCACTTTCTTACATGCACTCACTCTCTCTCACACACACACACGCACGCACGCGCACACACACACACACACACACACACATACTCGTTTTCTATGGGGTGCATGCAAGATACATCTACTGTACAGAGTCCTGTTGGAGCTACACCACAGGGGCTGGAATAGTGCTAGAGAGCCCCACGTTCAGTGGAGATGTGGAGGCAGACTTTAGAATCCCAGCCCCCCCCCCCCCCCTCCCAGTCCAATACTGCATGCGGGATCTTCCCAGTGAGCTCTGTGAGCTGCGCTGGGGCAGAAACCCCTAGGTGGCGTTGTGTTATAGCTCGATATTGCATGCTGAAATAGTGCAACACACTATCCTTACTAGCTTTTTTGCATGAGGATATTGCTGTCCGTTCAGAAAAAGGGGTGAGGGAGTAGGTTTAGGGGCGTTGCTCTGGTTGTGGCGCTCATTTGAGGCATGCGGCCTTATGCTCACCTGGCACTGTCATACCTTGAGTGTGGAGCTGATGAGAACAAGGGGTGGGAAATAGGTGCTTTAATCACTTAGATTTAGCTCTGGGAATGGACAATGTGCAAATGGGATAGTTTGTTTTCTCTATGACAGTGTATTGGCGAGTATCTCGGCAGCATGTTTCAGAAAGTAACTTTCACATGTGTGTGTCTGCCTATCTTAGTAATAGGTTGATGGTTATGGTTCATTGCTTGGTGATGAATCAATAGGGCTGTTTTGATTTTGTGAAATGTGAGAGCACATGTTTGTGTACCAGGTGTGCGGTCCTGTTTGTCTCCTTGTATATAAATGTATATGTATGTCTGTCCTGTTGTGTGTATAAATATATATTTTGCACCGAATGTACCAAAGGTTTGGGGCTTGCAAAGTCAACCATTAGAACCTGCTCTCTAATTTTGTCTACCCATCACATCCCACAGTCCTTACAGAGCATCGCCTCATATTGGAGGTGCAGTGTGGCATGCCAACACCGCTTCACGTTAGGATTATACATTCACTCGGTCAGTTTTCCATAAGGAGGCTTTTCTGCTGCAGAACACTGGTCAAATGGATCGCTTCACATCCAAATGAAGTAGTTGCACCTCTCTTGTCTCTAATAGTACATTTCTGAGAGGACATGGCTCCGGTTTCAGAATTCCACTCTATGCAAAGCTCCTGTATGTGTGTCTCCATTTCACCCCAATGATTGTAATAAAAAGAGAACAAATGGCAAATTTTGATTAATGATGTATGAGCCTTATTGATCTATTTACAAGAGTTTTGCATCTGAATGAGTAACATAACTACATATATTATCTTTATAGTCAATTCTAAAACTCTTTCTCTAAAGTAAACCCTTCATTATTATGTAGCCACTATACTACCCCTCCTTGATGAAATACTACTCTCCTTAACCTAAAGTTTGAACATTTTCTTCTGATTTATGTGAAAACAAGAGAAATAGAAAAGTTGAATACATTCAACAAAATAAAAAACACACTATTTGGGGAGAAATAAATATAATCAAAATGTAAAACTATCCCTATATACATACTTGATACATTTGTAATTGCATGATGCATAAGAACGTTGCTCTCTGTATGGGCTCTGTATTGCGTTGAGTGTAGGCCTCTCAGTGACAGGGGCTCCCATGTGTAGGGAACACATGGAAGTTCATTTCTGACTAAAACAACCACTTGTTCAATGTTAAGAACATGTTAAACATTAAAACAAATAAAAACACTGGTGAGTTAAAAACGTAAACTACTAAGTATGACTTTGTAGGCTAGGCTAAAAAAAACAATTAAAAGAATAATGTAGAGCCGCTAAAAATGATGACATATGTTGCATTTTAAAGTTATAATAAATAAAAACACTCAACCCCTAGAAGTTGAAATTTTGATTACTTTGAAAAATGTGTGACTCAGAAAGTCAAACGTATGACTATAATTATGCAGTCAATGATTACAGGTTACAGCTTTTGAATTCACATTTCAAATAAACTCGACCCCCTTTTCAAACACGACAATAATGCGCATGCGCCAGGCAGTGACGTGTCCACACAGTGTCAAACAGAAGGATGTGAAAATGATCGAAAATTCTCCAGATATACGAACTAACCCTTTCCTCTGTAGCCTGCAGCGGCACTTCGGATAATTTAACCACCGGATAAAGTCGTAGCTAAAGCTTTTAGAGACTAACCGTTCCTCTTTAGTTGAGCTAGGGAAAATAGGTTTAACTCACTTTAGAAGCCGCGACATTGACCATCGAGCTAACTTAGTTAGCGACAGTTGAGCTAGCCGGATCGGTAGTAGTAGCTAAACTAAACTAGCATAGTAACCGGTTTAGTTAACATTAACATGTGACTGATTTAGAGCTGGCAGTGTAAACGTTAGATAGCCTCTCAGGTTAGTTAGTCTCATTCTGTAAGCGTTCACCGCGGGTCCCAGCAGCCGGGCAGCTGGCAGGCAGCGGGGCTGATCCCTGAGCAGCAGAGATGTCTCGGAGGCGGCTGGACAGTCGCAGCGGGCCGGCGGCGGGGCTGCTCTGCGAGTGTCAGACCCCCATCAGCATGGAGCCCATGGAGAGTGTGTATGAATTCACCGGAGAGCTCGGAAGGTGAGTGTGACTGCTGTCCCGGGACTGTGAGGGTCTCTGGGGGGGCTCAGAGGCTCTCCTCTGGGTAGAACGCTGACTGCAGGACGGGAAAAGTGGTTATGTTATGCACTATTACTAAGATTTCTTACGGACGGGATCTATGAATGGGAATATTTGGAATTTTAAATTTGTTGGAATGTTTTAAACATGTGTCTCACTGTAAACATATCGTTAACGGAACAGTTTTCATGACAAATGGACTGTTAGCTCATAACCACAGTCCAGACCGCATTACAATAACATGTATAAGGACCGTGCTGAGGAAAGCCTTTGTAATGCAACATTAACAACAGTTGGACACTGTCATACATTTACAATTGTTGATCTCACTGGTAATTCATTTTACTTTAACTTCTTATTTTATTAATAAATATCTTTATTTCATTATCTTTATTTAATACTTAAGTTGAGCAATTGTCACACAACCCAATTTCCCTCTGGATAGACAAAGTATTTAGATTCTGATTCTGAAAGTATTCCAAAGTGAATCATGTATCGACCCTTGTGCCACTATCCCACGATACAATGTGTTGTGACATCGTTTCAAATGACACTCCTTTTCTGTATTATTGCAACTGAGTGTTCAGACTAAACTGGGTCACCAAACTAGGTTACATTGTCACTACAGATTAACACAGCATCCAACATGAGAGTAACAAAGCTACAACTGCCACATTTCACATGAACAACAGAAACCTTTAACAGAAGCCTGAACAACATAGAGAATAACCTGTCCTTTCTCTAACCACTTCTAATAATATAATGTCTGTATGTGCATGCATGGCTTGCACAGATCAAGTCATTCAATGCACAGACTTCAGCTGATGTTGGACTCTGGACTGTAAGCTTAACCACTGTACATACGCGCCTTGCCGTGCCAGGGACCTGACTTCATCGTGCTACAATAGACCTTTGTCATGGGTGTCACTGTGTGTTATTCATTGTGTGTTATGCACTTTGTGTTTGCCATGGCAACATCTGACGGTGGATGATCATATCCTAAGATCTCTGTGGTGTGTTTAAAGTAATGTGTCATGCAGCATACTTGATCATTCTTATTACGACACAGGGGGAAGGACACGAGCACATGTGGGAACTAAACTTTAGAAAGAAGAAATGGTACAGCCACTTACATGTATGTGTTTGTAATTCGACAAAACAGGAAGTTCTGATGTACAATACTTTAGAACATGATGAGGGCTGTTCTATTTCTGCGTTACCTTGTTGAAGGAAAGTGATGTTCCCCCTGAGTCTCGATACAACATTGGCTTTCATAAACACTGATCCTTATCAGTGAAACATGTCACAAAACATGTTTCCTTGTTAGGCTGCAACTTTTAAGAACTTGAACTTGAACTTGCATTATTAGTATTTTCTATATGAACATTGTCTGAAATGACTATTTTACAGTATGTGAGAAGAGTCAGCTGTAGTGCTTAAAAGACAGAAACAGAATGAAATCACTCTTGCCGATTGTTTACTACTATGGGGGGGGGGGTCTCAGATGCCCTCCTTAACATTAGTACGCACCTTTTAGAAAGAGCCCTGATTGGAAAAAAAGGCTCTGTTATTGAAGCAGTGCCAAACGTCAAAGTCTGCAGCCCACCAGCTGGTTAGCATAGCATCTGGTAAGTTAAGAGTGTTTGAGGCAGGGGCTGAACACAGGGCATGCCAGAAACACAGCTTAACAACTGAGTGGTTTAAGTGGACGTAAAGACTGGATAAAGGGCTATATAAATGCAGTCCATTGGAATATAAGCCATAACCACATGATAAGCAGATGTTTCATGGGGGCCATCTTCCACTATTTCAAAAAAGGTACCTTTCATGAGGAGTATTTCAAAAAACCTATAAACAGTTGTTTATTGGCAAGAGGAAATAGTCGTGAGGACATCATCAGTGGTTATAAGTTAATGACAGGAGGCATGACGTTTGACAGGTGTGGCATTTACTGGTAAGGGAGAGTCGGAATATGACTCAGTTGCATAATGGGACTTAACTCATAGAAACCTTAAGTCTGAATATGTTCCGCTCTGCTCTTTAGATTTGCCCCTCTTTTTGTTCTTATTTTTAAATCTGTCCCTATAGCACATCTTCACTGAAGTGTAAGACCGTGCATTAACGCCAAGATCTGTGTTAGATACAAAAGGCTGTGTGTCATTAACCCTGAACACCATCCGTTTGTGGGCCTAACCCTGCTTGAAATTTCAAAAAATACTTTACACCGCTATGCTGCCATAAATCATCACAAAATATAATAACTTTGATAACTCAACATACGTCCACTTTCTGCTTCCCAGGGGAAAGTTTGCGGTGGTGAAGCGATGTGTGGAGAAGGCCACGGGGAAAGTGTTTGCTGCCAAGTTCCTCCGGAAGAGGAGGCGAGGTCGTGACTGCCGGGCCGAGGTCATCCACGAGATGGCGGTTCTGGAGACGGCCCGCAACAACGCCCGCGTGGTCAACCTGCACGCTGCGTACGAGACGGACCACGACATCGTCCTCATGCTGGAATAGTGAGTTCACTACACAACCAGTGACACTTAAAAGGAAATGTATGGTACATCAGATTAGTCTGACCCTGGATACATGTTCCTACCAAAAACAAGCAAACAGCATGTTTCAATCCTAAGGAGCTGCCACGCTCTCATATTGTTTATGTAATGCTCAGAACAGGTTTATCAGGACTTATTTGTTTTGAGACTAAAGCTCTGATGACTGTTCAGTTTGAGCTGAAACTCCAGCTCTGGTAGACCTGAGTAAACATCCTCATAGGCATCAGGGCCTGACCTCTTGACCTTCACCAAAGCTTTATCATTCTTCCTCTCCTGTGTCTATGAGCTCAAACCAGATGAACACAGGGTTTGGACGGGATCATCTCAAAATCAAAAGGTTCCATCTGTGAACCGAGTTGGGGGTTAGGAAGGTAGTTCCTTTTGCTTTCAGGATCATTTCTTAGTGTTTGTTATTGTTATACTCTTTTTGGGAAATAATTCACCAAACTGTTGTTTTAAAAGTAATGAAGGAAGTAAGCGTATCCTTGCAGAACAATGTTTTTCACCTTTTCAGATCATACAGAAAGAATCGTAGACATAGAACTGGAGCGGCAGAACTTCAACAAAAGGGTTGTTTTATAAGTGAATTGCTCAGATTTTCTAACCACACCTTAATACTTGTTGTTGGAGACACTGTAATCCCTTCCTGAGCAGAGGCGGCTTTAACCATTCACTTTGTTTGTTCTAGACGCCTGGGCAGCTCAATGAGGGCTAAGAAAATACCAAATTAGAAAGTTGAATAACCGGAAATGTTATCAAATCAGGTGGCCCTTGTACTCGGTGTAACATTGTAGGGCTTACTGTCAACTTCAGCTCTCTTACCTACAGCGAGTCAGCAGGAAGGAGGTGGCCTTTTGACTCAATAACACTCTGAAACCAGGCCTCCCTGCACTCCATGAAAACTGTATATTCCTGTTTCTCCTGTGTAAAGTGCATCACATACAAGTAAGCATAAAGTGCAGTGAGCCGGTCACTGTAGCAGAAAGAACCCTTTCAGGCTCCCGAATCACCCTGAAGGGGTTCTTTTGTCA